CACTAACTCTCATTGTGGATTACTTGTGCTTTAGCAACACCTAGAGGCCTCAACCAAGAATTGGGCTCTGGTGGTGCCAGGCACCATCCACACACAGAGCAACAGATCCTGCTCTGAAGAGCTTATAGTCTAAACAGAGCAAAAGTGGGGGAAAAGTGAAATACCCATTGTCGTTTGGAAAACTAAATGAGAAGTGATTATTTCTCTTTGACATTGATGAGGCCATATCTGGAGTATCACATCCAAATCTCCCCCCTCCACTTCCCGCCCCAGTCTATGGGCCTCCACTTTGGAGAGGGTCCAGCAGAGGGCAACAAAAATGATTAGGAGGCTGGAGCACATGACATACAAGGAAAGGCTGAGGGATTTGGGCTTGTTTAGTCTGCAGAAAAGAAGAGTGAGGGGGGATTTGATAGTAGCTTCTAACTAGCTGAAGGGGGTAGAGGTCCAAAGAGAATGGAGAGAGGCTGTTCTCAGTAGTGATGGATGGCAGAACAAGGAGCAAAGGGTTCAAGTTACAGTGGGGAGGTCTAGGTTGGATATTAGGAAAAACCATTTCCCTAAAAGGGTGGTAAAGCACTGGAGAGTGTTACGTAAGGAGGTGGTGGAATCTCCATCCCTAGAGGTTTTTAATCTGCTTGACAAAGCCCTGGATGGATTGATTTAGTTGGGGTTGGTCCTGCTTTAGGCAGGGGGTTGGACTTGACCTCCTGGGGTCTCTTCCTGCTCTAGAATTCTATTACTGTACGCGAGCAAACCAAGCCGGCCTCTCTTGTGCTAAAGGTTTTCACCACATCCCCAGAGACAGATTTTCAGAGTTGGATTCTTCCTCCCTCATTGTGGAAGACAACTGTGATTCTCCTTCTACAGTTGAATGATAGTGTTAGCTACAAGCCTAACTGGAAAACAGAGTAAAATAGATCAGTCACACACACACACACACACACACACACACACACCCTTCCCCCCCCGCCCCATCATGTGTTCATCTAGACTTTACTCTATATTTTAAGTATCTCCTATGCTCTACATAATTTCATTAGATGAGATTTATGTGGTCACTCCATTGCTTGATGAAGTATTGTATTCACAGCAGGAAATGATTTGCCACTCCAGTGAAAATGAGCATTCTCAAGCAATATATCAGTAGAACGAATTATACTAGCAGTGAAGTAAAAACTGTTCTAAAGAAGTTTTTGATTCATTGTAATTACTGATTGCCTGAAGATTAGTTTATGGCTTTACTTCTATATATTTCTACTGTGCCTTGTATTTACATTTTATATTGCAATTATTTGTATTCTAGTGATGTTATTTTGGAAGCTTTATTGCATATGCCTATTTACACACACATACTGAAGAACTAATGACAATTGAGCCTATTGCATTTTGACCTGTATCCACTTCTAGCCTACAGTATTCCTTTTGTAGAGGCCGGCCGTGGGGGGGAGGCGCACAGTGCACACAGACATTTACAGTCTCCCCTGTTTTCTGGAAGACTCTGCAGCTGACAGGAGAAGGATGATACTATGACATCAGACATAAGTACAGAAAACTGTTTAGTGAAAGAGGAAAGGATTTTTAATCAAATTGTTTAAAGCCTGGGGTGCATTTTGGGGAGGGGTTCTGCCAATACATATTTTAAATAAGTGAAACAGGACATCTGGACTTTATTGATTTTACCTTAAGTGTCAGGAACAAATAGAAAAATACTTCAGTCAGGCTCCTATGCTTTCAGGTTCTGTATATATTATAATGAAGGGGGAGAGGAAGTCTTAAAATCCTACCACAGGAGAGAGAACTTAAGCCAAATGATATGAAAAAAACCCCAACTGACCAGTAGCTTTGAGTACACATGGTGGATCTACTTTAGCCACCTCATATCAGGTTTTGATATGGTCAGAAACTAGGGATGTTAAGGACTACTTGACTATCTGATAAGCATTTGCTTATCAGACAGTCAGCTATCCCATCAACTAGTTGTTTCCCCTCCCCCGTTGCTGCCTGAGGCAGTGGGGTGGGGGGGAGGGGAAGAAGTGGAGAGGAGGGGAGAAAAGGGGGTACTTCAGAGTGGCAGTGCTGCTCAGAGCCCAGGATCAGCTGCTCCATGTGGCACTGTTGCATTTCAAAGGAGCAGCACCATGAGGAGCCTGGGGGCAGCTGTGGAGTCCAGCTGAATATTGACCATGACAATTTGCAGATGAAGATGTTGAATTTCCACAGGTCTAGGACATGTGACCAGCCTCCCTTTTCTTTGGAATAAGGAAACAATGACATAGAAACCTAGGAGCACACTGCACACCCTGCCCCGCACCCAGGCCTTACGATCTCGCGGTGCGCCATGAGCACGGCGAAGTTGGTGAGGTGGCTGCAGGCGCAGGTGGTGTGCGTCTTGTTGGTGTCCACCAGGCGGCAGCCCTGCGTCGACCAGTAGCCCATCATGGAGCGCTCCGAGTAGTTCCAGAAGGAGCAGTTGGCGTTGAAGTGGTTCTTAGCCTGTGGGGGCGACAGCGCGTGGGGGGGGTCAGTGGCAGGGGGGGTGACAGGAGCTCAGGCATCGGGGATGGAGGAAGACTCATTCGGAGCATCAGTGCAGCGCCCCCTGGGGGCAGGACCCCCGCGGCACAGCGCCCCCTGGTGCCCAGCTGGGGGGTGTCTGGGCACAGGGGGCAGCCAGGACCTTGAGGGCAGGGCCCCCGTGGCCAGCGCCCCCAGTGGC